TAGGTTTTATGCTCAAGCTATTATCCATGCTGTATAGCTTTTTTTTGACTGCCCATTAGTGGCATTGAAGGGGCACAAGTTGAAGAGGTAATTTCTTGACATATGTGAGATTGTCAGCTTCTTGCATATCAAACTCTTCAACGTTCATACTATTAGGCAATCCCCCAATGGAAAAAGTAAAGCAAATTCGTCAACCCTAGCTCCACGGTAGCAAGTCCCATTGCCATGGCAGATGTGTATGATAAGATGAGTGGAAGAACTCTACGACGCCATGTATGTTGTATAAGTTGTAACAGAACTTACTATATTTTCTGAAAAGTGTTCATAAGTATCCTCTTTGGAATAACGAATGTGGTAAGTGCATAACTTCAAGTCTTTTGGTTCAAACATCACCTTCTGTTCTGTTAAACTTTGTTATGTATGTCCTCGCTTTTTTTTTTTGTTCTTTTGCTCTGTTTCTTAAAGAGATGAACGTTGTTATTGAAGAGTCGTGTCTATCTAAAGATGAATGAAATAACTTCACGATGTTGTATAAGTTGTAACAGAATTTACTTAAATTGCGGAAAGTCTCAAAACTATCCTCTTTTGAATAACGAATTTGATAAATGCATAACGGAGTCTTGCGGTTCAAACACATCACTTTCTTTTCTGTTAGACTCTGTTATGTTTGTTTGGCTTACCTTCCATCACTCTGAGATTTTATGGACATAAAAAATTTGGGAGTCTATTCCTATGTATTTTTTTCAAAAAAAAAAATTTGGAGCCTATACCAATGTATTATTGAGCTATGGCCACATCTGACCTACCTCCCCTTGGTCTAGATCCTCCTTTTCTGTTAGACTTTGTCATGACATATAACTGGTTTATTGTATAGCATGTGGCACTGATTGGTGGCGTACTGGATACGTAAGGGTGGTGGGCACAAATCATATATCTGTTTTTTTTCAGGTATTTGTGTTTTTTCATCCGAATGATCATTCAATACATAGCTATTTGGATATTCGGTGTTATGGATATCCAGAAAATTTTATATCTTAACTTGATATCTGATTCGATCCGTAAAACTAAAATAAAAATAAATAAAATTCTAAAATAATTAAAATAAAAATATTTTACAAAAATGAAAAATTATTTACTTTTACAAAAATTATAATAACTAATATAATAAACATAATAAGTAAAAATATTGTAAAAATGACATAAAATATAATATTTACGTATTTATATATATGCATACAACGGATCATATTGAATATTTGTTTCTAAAAATATTATTATTTATAGTTTGTTTTGTTTCCTACGAATATTAGTATTTATTTTGTTTCGTAGATATTTGAATTTTTCAGTTTGAATCACGGATAACAAATTAATTCAAACTTTACAAATATTTTTCCCACCCTTAAATATGAATACTACGTACAAGGGTGGTATCTTAATAAGGAGGTATCCAAGTTTGACCACAAAAAATAGGGAGGTATCCAATTATAATTTACGATCATTTAAAGACCAGGAGATTTTAGGGCACTAGAACACAAAATTGTGGGCGACCACGAGTAATGGTTGCTATAAAACATCGGACATGGTCACATGGGAGATAACTCTAGTAATAACCAACCACTAGATTTTGACCCGCGCAACCGCGCGGATGCTTGTTTTCGTTTATCGTTAGTTATATAAAACTTTTTGTTTTCACTTGTAAATTGGTATACATTATAGTAATCACATATTTACGATGTGTATATTAAATTTTTTTCAAACAAAATAATATTATATAATACGTGTTTTAATCAAATAGATTGTTTCAAATTTCTATATTATACATCTTTTTCAAACATGTGTTTGTTTATTCTTCTAAATTTTATTGTTTGTTAGATTAGTATTTAAGTTTTAGATAAAGTAATATAAATAGAGCTTAATTAAATATTAATATACTTTAATTTGCAAAGATAATATATACTTAGAAGAAATTTTTGCTAAAAACTAAAACTATAGCTTTATAAATTAATATTATAAAGAATTTTATTTAAAAGAATTTTTTAAACAATTTCTTTTTTTAAAACAATATAATTTTAAAAATTTACATCGAAATAAATTTATCTAATATATATAGCGTGTAAATTTTGTTAGGGTATATAAATATTCCATATTACAAATATGTGATTTTTGTTAATATATTGTGGATGTATTTAACTATTATTGACATATTTCCTTATAAATAATAGAAGATTCCTAAACTTATATCTATTGACATATTTTGCGTGACTAAGTTGGAAGGTATGTGGTAATTTACTAAAACCAAATTGTTAAGCGTATCTTTGTTATTATAAATATGATTTTTCATAAGATATAATAATGATAAGATTATTAGAGAGTTAATAACATGACTTTCTAGTAATAGTCCATTTAAAAAAAAATCACACATGAAGTCAAGTCATAACTTCTGTTTTAATATATAAGATATTATATTATTGTCTAAAATCTCAGCTAAATTTTTATTGTAAAAAGACAAACCATAATTATATGGAAATAAGTGTTCAGAGTTTTTCTAGATTTATGTGAAAATTTTTTACTGCATAAACATTTCTCAAAAATTTTGCTTTTATTTCCTGATTTGTCATTTCATTATTATTTTTTGAGAAATGCTTGATCTTTCGTTTTTCTATTTATTATTATTTTACTGGACAGAAAGTGAGTGAGATATTGTTAATGATGTTGTTAAGAACTAGCTATTGATTATTGTCTCTTCTTTAGAGTATTCATTCCACGTCAACTGATGTGCAAGTAAAAGATCCCAAGGGTGAAAGAAAAATGAACAAAACCTATTTAGAGTACAGTCCAGAAAAGAAAAAACATTATTTTTAGTTTCATTATCATAAACCATATAGATGAAGTTGGAAAATGAATTCAACTTTTGCATGGAAAACAAAACACAAACACGTCTTATAAAAAGTAAAGATTAATAAATTGTATGGTTCCGCTAATTAAATGTTATGACATTTCAACTTTCCACAACTCGTATGATTTACGAATTACGAGTAATCACCTATTACTTATCAATATTTAGTTTATTAACATTTGAATTTAGGAATATAGTATTATAACTATAAAGAAGAAAATTAATATTACCATCCCAAGTCTTTAAGCATTAATACGGGGATTTATTGGAAGCTATATCGTACAAATTTATATTCTACAATGGTAGGGATGGGCACAAACTGGTTTTGTGAAAAAAAGTAACTAAATATTTGGATAATTTATGAAACTTATGTAGCTTATCAAACTTTATTACTTGGATAAACTGTTTATCATACGTTTATTAATTCTTATACTTTGCAATAACTTATAAGTAACTATAGGTTTCATGGTCAAGCTCATGTTGTAGAACTTTTGATTGCCCATCAATGACGTTGAAAGTTTCTTGACAATAGTGAGAATGCCAGCTTATTCCATATCAGCGTCTCCAACTTTCATCCTAGCTCCACGGTAGGTCAGGTCAAAGTGGTTGACAATTTAAAGCAAAAAACGAAAGAAAAGTAGTTGACACAGTTTTTTTTTTTTTAGTTGACACAGTTGTATAACTAGGTTCCTAGTTTTGTGGAATATTTTTATCTTCTTTGGAGACATAAATAAGTAGTAATTTAAGAAGTCTTGTGGTGCAACACTCCAACACTCACGTGTTCTGTTAGACTTTGTTATGATTGGTTTATTGGCAAACGTGGCTGACTTTTATTATATGGTTGGTCACAAGTCATGTCTTCTTTTGTTGCTAACGGGGACGTGTTCGATAAAAATATTCAATCGTTTAGCACAAATCATAATTAAATAATTAATACACTAATAATCTATCTAAAGTCCTTACCACGACGACGGACGTGAGTACAAGTTTCTTGAGGGTGGTTGAATTAATTCTTTAATAACGATGTTTATCTGTCAAAACTATATAATACTCTATTTATTATTTTGTTTAGCTCATTTTGGCTAAGATCAAGTCCAGATTTGTTATGTTTTATGTTTCCTATTTATGGAAAACTACCAGTCCATTCGTTTGTTACAGTATTAATAAACCTTTTTTCCAGTATTAAGAAACTTGAAAATGATTTCAATTCTACCATGGACAATGACACAACAAATAACATAAAACAAAACTATTTCAGTAAACATCTTATAAAAGCGAAACGAGATCGAAATTATATTGTACTCCAACATTTTACAGTTCACATATGATTTACAACTAATCACCTAAATCTTATCAGTATTTAGTTTATTGACATTTGACACCAGGAACATATTATATACGTTTTGAAGAGAAAATGAATAATAAAAAACATGTCACCATCCCCACCTGACCAAGTTGTTAAGCATTAATATAAAGATTTATTGGCAGCTGGGAGTTGTACAAATTTACACACTAATAGTGTAACAAGGACGTGTTCGATTAAATATCCAATCGTTTAAGCTGTCTGAGTACAAGTTTCCTGAGGGTGGTTGAATTACTTCTTTAATAACAATGTTTTATCTGTCCAAACTATATAATATGTATTAGTCTGGTTTAGTCATTTTGGCTAAAATCAAGTCCTGATTTGTTCTGTTTTATGTTTCCTATTTATGGGAAAACACTAGTCTATTCGTTCTGTTATAAGAAACTTGAAAAGGTTTTATATTCTAGCATGGAAAATATCACTCAACAAAGAACATTAAACAAAATTATTTCAGTAAAACATCTTATAAAAAGAAAAACGAGAAATAAATTGTATGATACTCCAACATTCCAAGATTTCCATGTGATTTACAAACAATAGCCTAAATTTATCAATATAGTTTATTGACATTTGACACTAAGGATATAGTATTAAAACTAAACTAACATACATTTTGAAGAGTGGAATGAATGATAAAAGAAATTTCTCCATCCCCAAGTGACCAAGTCATTAAGCATTGATATATAGAGTTGTTAGCTGCTGAAAGCTTGTAGAAAAATAGTAAAATAATAATAATATGTTTTGGATAATTTGTCAAACTTTATTACTTTTGGATAACTTGTTCATCATACAATAATTAATTATTTTATTTTGCAATAATTTCTCAATAGCTATAGGTTTCACGCAAGCTATCTCCATGTTGTAGAGCTTCTTTGACTGCCCATTAATGGCGTTGAAGGGGCACAAGTTCAAGAGGTATTTTCTTGACAATGCTGAGAATTCCAGCTTCTTCCATATCAATGTCTCCAACTTTCATCCCATCAGGCAACTTCCAATCAAAATAGTAAAGCAAGTTCAACAGCCCTAGCTCCACAGTAGCAATCCCCATTAACATGGCAGGACATATCCTTCTACCAGAACCAAACGGTATTAGGTCAAAGTGTTGTCCTCTAAAATCCACAGAACTGTCTTCAAACCGTTCAGGGATGAACTCTTCAGGGTCGGTCCAACGCTTGGGGTCACGTCCTATGGTCCATACGTTAACTTGAATTTGTGTTTTAGGTGCAATGTCGTAGCCTTGGATCTTGACGTGAGACATTGTTTCTCTTGGAAGCAAAAGTGGAACTGCTGGGTGTAATCTGAGTGTTTCCTTGATTATAAGCTTCAAATAATCAACCTTTCCTAGGTCTTCTTCGGTGATTCTCTCCCTCTTGAGCCCTAAGGTGGCTCGGATATTTTCTTGTGCCTTCTTCATCACGTTAGGGTTTCTAACGAGCTCGGTCATGACCCATATCATAGTTATGGCGCTTGTATCAACCCCCGCGAGAAATATATCCTGAAAACATTACATAAATTAAAAAAAAAACATACCAAATTTTAAATTACTATTACTTGTAAAACAAGAAACATGGTTTAATTAAACATGAGTATTTTTTTTACCATGAGGATTGCCTTGACATTATCCATGTTGAGTTTGAAAGAGTCTTCACTTCCTTGTTTATCGATCTTATCCAACAGCAAGGAAACTACATCTTGATTTTTCCTTCCTTCTGGCTTCAAATGATCATCAATCACGTGTTGGTAAAAAACATCAAGATCTTCAAAGACTTTGTTGATCTTCTTGTGTCGTTGAAACAACCAATCCACGAATCTTCCAAGTGCACCAGGGAAGAAGTCAGAGAAAGTGAAACTCCCTAGAGCTTCCGCTGCTTCGGTAACAAGCTCCTCTATCCTTTCTTGGTCGATAAGGAAGCTGTTCTCGTGTAAGTTCTGTCCTAAAGCCACTCTACAAATGATGCTTGCGGCGAGGGAGAAGAAAGTTTTGTTAAGATCAACGTGAGATTGTTTCAATGCCGATTCAGAGACTTTCTTCACCATGAGTTCGGTCTCTTCTTCTCTTATGTACCTAAAAGATTGAACCTTCTTAAGGCTAAAAAGCTCAGTGACCACGAGCTTTCGCATCTCCCGCCAATACTCACCGTATGGTCCGAAATTAATGTCTTTGAAACCGTAAGAGAGTTTTCCGGTGCCTACAGTCTTTGGTCGGCTGCAACATTCCAAGTCGTGTGTTTTGAGAACTGCTTCAGCTGCTTCACTAGATGAGATCACAACCACTGGAACAGACCCTAGACGGAGAAGCATCACTGGTCCGTGTTTGATGGAGAGGTTATGAAAACATCTATGAGGTAAGCCTGCGAGATGGTGTAAGTTTCCAATGATTGGTAGACTTGAAGGGCTTGGAGGAAGAGTGAGTTTTGAGTTTGTGATGTTTTTAAGAAAGATTAATGTTAAGAGAGTAAGAAGCAAAACCAAGAAGAAACATAGCAAGATCTCCATTTTTGTAAAACTTTATATGTTTAGTAGAGAGATGATAGTATGATCCCAAAGAACATTGTATATAAAGTAAAAATTAAAAGAAGTCGATATATGTCCTAATCGATAACTTTTTAAATATCCAAAAACTTGTGGTTGAAAGTTGTAATAACTAGGTTCCTAGTTTTGTGGAATACTAGTCATAAATTTGATTAAAAAAAAGTCTAAAATAATCAGCTACGTAAGAAGTCTTGTGGTCCAAAACTGCAACAGTCACGTGTTCCGTTAGACTTTGTTATGACTGGTTGATTGGAGAACGTGGCACTGATTTATTAGAACGTTTGGTCACGAGTCATGACTTTGCTAACATGTAGGGCTGGGCATTTTATTCGTTATATTTGATTCGATTCGTTATTCGTTTCGATTCGATCCGAAAATTTCGGATATCCGTAAACTTTCGAAGCAAAGCAAATACTAAAATTCAATATCCGTTAAAATCGAAGCAAATCACAAATATTAAAATTTTGGGAAGCGGATATCCGATCCGATCCGGAAATATATAAATATATGTATATCTTGATTATATTTAAAATTTTAAACGTATAAAATTATATAATTATTATTCTAACACATGATTTTGAACAATTCTATTCACATTATTACTTATATAAAAGTATTACATAAAAGAGAGAAATTTTTATGACAATAGTATTTTTTTCTTAAATTTTGTGTTATTATAATTGTAACTTAAACTTAAAAAAATTACAAAATATGTAAATTCATTAGTTCTTTTAATTTTTATATTATATATCATGCAAAAAAAATATTTTTGAAAAGCAAATTTGTATCAAAATCTTAAGATTATTTGTATTAATCAAAACTAATGAGATATCCGTAAATATTCGTAAATATCCGCAAATATCTATTTATTTCCCGGATATCCGTTTTTCCGGATATCCGTATTTTTTCGAAGCAAAGCAAATACCAAAATTAGATATTCGTAACATTCGAAGCAAATCACAAATACCTTAAAAAACCCGGATATCCGATCCGTGCCCACCCCTACTAACATGGACGTGTTCGATTAAAATATGCAATCGTTTTAACCTATCTGAGTTCAAGTTTCTTGAGGGTTGTTCAATTGAATTGTTTCTTTAATAACAATATTCATTAGTTTGGTTTGGTCATTTTGGCTAAGATCACATCCGGTTTTGTTCTGTTCTATGTTTTCTATTTATGGGAAAAAAAATACTTGGATAGTGATTTCCATTCTAGCATGGAAAATATGACATAACAATAAATGTTATTTTAGTATGAAAAGCAAAACAAGAAATACTCCAAAACTCCAAAATTCACATATGATTTACAACTAGTCACCTAAATCTTATAACTGAGGGTTTGAAGTAATTTGTATTAAAAATGATATATCAACGGTTATTCAAACATAAATTTAAAAAATTCATTTAAAATCCACTGTTATCAAATTTAACATTTCATAAAGTACTCTAAAATAGTATTGAAAATATATTAAGTTGTGTTTCAATGACATTTGACATTAGGGATATAGAAAAATGAATAATAAAAGAAATGTCGTCATCCCCAAGTGACCAAGTCAGTAAGCATTAATATAGAGATTTATTGGCAGCTGGAAGTTGTACAAATTTACACTAGTATTATGGTAGGAGTGGATACAAATTGGATCTGTACAAAATAGTACATTAATAATAATATTTTTTTGGCTATTTTGTCAAACTTTATTACTTTTGGATAAACTGATCATAATACACTAATTAACTATTATATTTTGCAATAATTTCTACTTAACTATAGGTTTAACGCAAGCTACTATCCATGCTGTAGAGCTTTTCTGACTGCCCATTGATGGTGTTGAAGGGGCACAAGTTGAAGAGGCAGTTTCTTGACAATAGTAAGAAGCGTAACCAAAGAAAGCAGAGCAAGTTAGGCATTTTGCTCGTCCTGTCTTTTTTTGTCGTTGCTCTGTTTCTCGAGGAGATGAACTTAGTTATGAGTGCTTGTATCTTATCTATAAATGGGTTGAAGAACCTAATCACGTCACGTATGTTGAAAGCTGTAATAGAATTTTACTAGATTTGTGGAAAACATCCTGTTTGGATTCATGAACGTGACAAAAGCATGTGGTCAATACATCTCATGTTTGGATTCATTAACGTGACAAAAGCTTGTGGTCAATACATCTCATGTAGTCACTGTTGAGTCATGGCTTCTGTCGCCAATAGGGAGGTGTTTGATAAATGTGGAATCATTACATACAAAAGTCTACGGCGGCTAATGTCTTCAACCAAACATTTAGATGTGAAGTATTCATAAGAAGATCTCTTCAACTAAACATTTTTTTTCGAAACTTATCGTTTAGTTAATTGAAGGTTAAATTAGAGCTGTTTGAACAAAATAAAGAGTGTATTCGCAGATGAAAAAAAAGGAGATTCTTATTTAAGTGAACACCGAAGTTTAAGCTAAGCAAGAAACAGAAAAGAGGGTGAATGATTTTGGCCTTCTTACTCGGCCACCGCTTCCTCCATGACTTGTTCTGCAGTGGCTGGTGGCACAGGGTAGTAGTGATAGTGTAGCTCCCCAACATCATCTCCTGACAGCTTCTTCCATCCATTAGGACCAACATGGTACACTGTATCATAAGACAAGAGACAAATGTTATAATATGAGGTAGGTTAAGTATCTTCAAAAGTTTGGTATCACATTTGGGACACTACTAACCGCTAGCAACTCCACCACTGGCTCCATCACGGAATGTCGCATGGTAGATTGATCTCCTTGCTAACTCAGATGCTTCTTCAACTGACATATCGAATTTGTACCTAAATGATAGAAGCAAGATTAGACTCTGGTTTTAAATTCTGGAAAATGAGATGAGTATGTTGTTAGGGGCAATGATTACCCGCTGTCAAGTACACCATAAGCGTATGGTGAACCAGAACCGACTGAAAACCTGTCTCCCTTGAGCCTTCCTCCTTCGTTGTCCACATAGTATAGTCCAGGACCCTGTATCCAAGGAGGAGTTAGAGTGTCAATGTTTTTATTTGGGTGAGAAGATTTAAGAAGAGTATTGGAGATAATAAGATGGTTTCACTGACAGTTTCATCCCATCCAGCAATCATTGTGCCGACAGAAAGTCCCATTCCACGGTATGAGTAGAGCATGTTTGCGAGAAGCTTTGAAGCTCCGGAAACAGAAATTCTCCTCTTGTTGGCCAGCTCATGTAGACGGCACTTGAGTGGACAAATAAATCAAAAGATCAGCCATAGTTTTCAACAAATCAAATTTGGTAGTAACTAGTAAGGTGAAGAAATGTCAAACAAAACGATACTAGCATGCCAAAATATTAGACACAAAAACTGGGAAAACCCAATCTGTTGAGAAGTATGACTACGCATTACTAAGCTTTTATAGTTCATCAATTAAAGCTATTTTGTTATTTGAAGGTAACTGAGGTATACCGTATACCACTCACAAAAATGTTTCGTTCACAGCACAAGGATGCTAAAGCCATTAATTATGTTGCAGAAAATGACTAACCAAAGAAGCTCGTGATTATAGGGTCACCATAATACAAACCAAAACTTTTTTAGTTAGCCAATACAGACAGAAAAATAAGAAAAGAGAAAAAAGCGAGCAATGTACCTTAATTCCAAGATTTCTGTGCCAGAATTGACAATCAGCAGCTCCTCCAGCCATTGTACCAAGCATATAAGGATTGATTTCAATAATCTTCTTCACAGATTGTGAGGCTACATAGAGAGAAACCAATACAAAACATCAGAATCAATAATACACCACTTCGTTTCCTATACTGTCTCACAATCATTAGCCAACAAAACTGAGACAAACCAACTTAATTCCAAACTATATGTGTCCGTCACAGTCAAACTATATCGAAAGGATACATCTTTTTCACAGCTAAAACAGTTAAAAAGCTAAAACTAATGGAATAAAGAGAAACATACAGATATATCCACCCATGCTAGCACGAGAATCAGCAGCAACCATAACACCTTCCTTGAATATAAAAGCTAGCGTGGTTGTTCCTTTCGCTGGCTTCACCATCTGTACTGCTTCTTTCTGAAACCCATCAAACTGAAAAAACCCCAAAACAAAATCCAAATTCAATCACACACACACACTGCTTCCCAAAAGACTCCAACAAAAGAGGTTAATCAATTCAAAAACTCACATCAGTAGTGCGGGGAAGATCAAAGGAAGGCACAGTGGAAAACCCATCAAGCATATCGTTGCTGGAGCCGAAACCAATCGTGGGCATGGACGTCTCGAACCCACTAGTATCAAGCTTCATCTTTTTAAAACCCTACAAAATCAATCGAAAACACTCAACTGGAAAGTTATGAAGATAATTTAGCATGAAATAAACCAAACCCATATGTCAAGTAAAGAGCTTTCTCTCGTTAAAAACTCAAATCAGATCTAGTCTGAGATACATGTGGTGTAATGTAAGATTTATCGTTATTTACGAGAGTGAAGTTAAACGATTCCAGAGCTCGATTAAGGATCGGAGACGTACCTTACTGAAGAGAAGTAATCAAATTGAGTTTCCGAGAGAGAGAGAGAGACGAAGTAGCTCTAAAGTGGCAAACGAAGGTTTCTTGAGCTCCGGGCAAACTACAGAGAAGCATATATGGGCCTATATGGGCCATAAAATATGGGCTATTAACTACTAATTGGGCCTATCATTATTTTCTTACAAATTGGCATGAAGCTCTCTCTCTGGACTAGACAATGAAGTCAAAGTTTTGAGCTAAACTGTATAATCTGTTGACAAATGTTAATCAAATCAAATTGTATTGTAATGATTTTTACAAGAAAAAAGAGTGTTGCAATATGATCCTTTTCTTCTCGTGTAACGTTTATAAAGGCAAGGACTTTATTCGAACATGTATCACTTTTACAAAAAGTAAGACAACTACTAAGTGATATCAAAAAAAAAAAAAAAAAAAAAGACAACTACTAAGAGATGGTTTATGTTTTTTTCTCTCTTTTAAAGGTAGCTGCATCAGTTAGATTCACAATGAGTGATTAATTTACTTCAGTTAATCTTTATTTATAAGAACATTCCTGAAAATAAATAGAATTTGGATGGATCAATACTTTTATTCAAGATACAAGATCAAAAGCACTTTTCCTATGCAAAATTTTGTTTTATTTCTAAATGTAGCAGAAAAAAAATATGGAAACAATACAAAAGTATATATTTGCATATATAATCATCAAATGCGTCAAACAAAAAAATAGTATTATGCTTTAGTCGCAGGAAAATTGCTAGCGTTTTGTAATGCATCTTCTTGCTCGCATGTACCCTGAAGGAGGGTTCTTCAAAGAGATGCTGCAACGTGTGTGCAACCAATAAGAGTATCTCATTAACGACCCAACGTTCGAGCGAGCGTGAAACGTTCCTCTCAGGTTCAACAACACAGGACCAGTACCTAGCTGAAGCTGCAACTCCTGGCTCTGAATCATTTGAATCGGGACTTGGCTGCTCACGAGATGGAAGCTCGTGAACATGGACATTCCCTTTGGAACAATGAATGGCTCGATGCGCTGGGTTGCTATGAGTGTGTTGTAAAAGTAGAGCTCGAACATTATGTAGCTGAAGTCGATATTGCTTTTCTTGCTTGGGTTTGTGAAGTTTACCACAACGGCGAGATCTCCGTTTAGAATGTAACCCATTTCGAGATTCGCGGTGTTTAGGTTTGCTGCTGCGATGTCGAAGTAGGGTGTGTGTGGACGGTTGCTGAGGTAAACGAGGAGGAGGATGAGGGCGGAGAGAATCAGGATGACTAAGAGAATTGCACAGCAGACTGTAGCCGGTAGTTTCATGGGTTTGGTCTTCTTTGGACCTTGTTGATGGTGCGTTGGTCGTGCTGGAGCGGTTCTCCATGGAGTTGGTTCAGGTCTATAGCCACCATGGTGTGGAGGTTGTTGTTGATCTTCAGGGAATGGCCTACTAGAGTTTGGATTACGGCCTGGTGGTAACGGTTCTTCTGGTCTCAGTGGCAAGGGTCTTGAGGAAGGCGGTTCATGGATAAGTTCAGGTGGCTCATTCTGGTGGCGACCACGAGTCTTTATTTTAGGCCCTGATGGAGCAACTGGATGAGTCTGTGGGTTCTGGTAGTGGTCCGGAGAGGTCCATGAGCTAGAGGGACCACCGGGAAGTTGATCCTGCGAGGGAAACTGAACGAAATGAGGGTTGGTTTCATAGTTGTGATAAGACATTGAAGCATCAATTAATGAGAAAAAGAGTTGTGTGATGATAGCAAGTGAAGGGAAAATTTTAAATGAGAGAGAGAGTGATAACTTGATGAGAAGTTCAAGTAGGATTCTTGTACTAAAGGAAACTGACACAAGGAAGCAAGTAATCTTTTTAACATGTCTTTCGGTCTAATAAAAACCAAGCAAACGAACCTATAAAACATCATCTTTTTCTCATCTCAATTGTTTGAAAAAGAACTATATATACAAAGTTCGATTCACTTTTTGGAGAGAGATAAAGATAGAGATAAGAGCTTACAGGTTCCCCATTATGGTAAAGATTAATCGCCATTCTGTTTTTAGAATGTTTATGTATTCCTCTTCTTCACCTTCTGCGCTTATAACAGGCTTCGTTCTGCATCAGTAGAGTTAAGACTGAAGTTAGGACTTCAGAGTCGCTCATAAAACCGTCACACAGATAAATAAATTTAAAATTTTTGTTGTATTAGTATAGGTTCCAGAAATATTTTGATTTTGTTATAGGATATATCAGCATGTAAAGATGCTGATAAAAGAAAAAGATTTGACCCACTTAGAAACAGTCCTGAGAAAATGAAAAAATAAACACAATTAATGAGATAAAGTCTGAGCTAACCTTTTGAATTTTCAGCCATTGGGATGCAGCTTCTGGAGGTCGAACAGATCGATTGTCTAAAGCTCTAACATATCAAGATCCCAAAGCTTGATGTGACGATAAATAAAAAAGGTAACTACTATTCTCAGTCCAATATGATCAGTCAGTGTAATATTTTCTGAGGAATGAAATATTTTTAAGAATGAAATTAGCTAACTCAACCACATATTCACTAATGTCGACAAGGAATGAAATTAGCTCAAGCCTGACTAAGTTTCTTGTTTCTCTCCAAGCACCATCGCATCAATAGAGGCTTTAATGGCTGTGTAACAGTTTCTCCATGCCACCATACTTTGACTAAGAATGGCATTTTTGCAAAGGAGATGACAAGGTTGATAGTTTGAAAGGTGTATAACCTTATTATGCCTATGCATCAGCATTCACTGAACAGCTAGCCTTAATGAGTGTATCAGACACATCTCTATCAAGGGTGAAACCTTTCTCCATCATCTGATCCCAAATCTTATACGCTGCTGATAGTTTATTTTCCCGTACGAGTCCTCCAATAATGAACTTGAAAGTTAACTCATCAGGACAACATTCTTTACTCTGCATGTCCTGAAACAATTTCATTGCTTCAGTTACTCTACAAGACCTGCAGAGACCACTTATCAAAGCATTGTATGAAACCGCATCCGGTGTAATTCCATGCTCAATCATGTCACTGAAAACACCATAAGCTTTGTCAAGATTTCCAGATTTACACAAATGGTCCAGAATCGTTGTGTAAAATATCCTATCTGGTGAAAGACCTAACTCCGTCATCTGATCAAGAAGCTTCTTTGCAACACTAGAGTTACCTTCCCTAAGAAAAGCCTTGATAAGACTCGTGTAGGTCACCACATTCGTCACTATCCCTTTCTGTCTCATCTCCTCAAAGAGCTTGTAAGCCTTCCTAGTCTTTGACGCCCTGCAGAATGTTTCAATTAGAGTACTGTAGGACACAACATCACATAAACCTCTAGGTTCCATCTCTTTAACCATGAAGGAATAACACTTATCTATATCACCAACCCTGCAATGCCGCTTAAGCAACTGGTTATAACTATAAACATCAGGCTGTATCCCACTCCTAACCATCTCCCCCATCACCCCTTCCGCTTTCTTCACCATATTGTTATCATAATAAAAATTCAACAACACATTGTACGTAACAAGATCCGGCTCACACCCACTCTTACTCATAAACGACTTCAAAGCCTCCGCCTTTTCTATCCTACCCGCTCTACAAAACCCGCTAATCAACGCATTATACACCACTACACTAAGCTTAACTCTTGCACTCTTGATCTCATCAGCCACCAACTCATAAGCCAAATCAACTTTGCGAGCGTGACACAACCCAACAACAAGTGCTTCACAAGCTTTATTATCAGGCTCAACTCCACTACGAATCATTACATTCCAAAACTCAACCGCTTCAGTAACCTTACCATCTCTAAACAACCCATTAATAAGTATAGTATAAGATACAACATCTGGCTTTCTCCCTCTCCGAACCATACAAATAAATGTCTGAACAGCAAAACCTACTTTTCTCTCTCTACACAACAAATCTAAATAACTATTAAACGCCCATTTATCTAGTATGTATCCAAGAGCTTCCATGTCTCTTATCAGAGCTTCAATGAGATCAAAGTTTTTAACTTTACATAAACCCAAGATAAACCTCGAGTAAGTGAAAGGTATAAGAGAGAAACCCATTGGAGTCATGTCCTTATACAATGCCTCAGCAAGCTCAAATCTCGAGTCTTTGACCAAAACACCGATGAAACGGTTGTAATCACAGGAGAAAACTCGGTGGCTTGAGTGACGCATTTCGTCGAACACGTGAACTGCGTTGTCGATCATACCTGATTTCACGAGGTAAGCGATACGAGAACGGTATGCGAGGCGTACTGCGCCCAGCGTCTGATGCATATCAGAGCTCGACGCATATGTTCAACATCAGAGCGGCGAGGACGACGACGGCTGGTGGTAGTGCTGGAGCTTAAAGCGAGAGAGGGAAAAAGGGGAAGACGAAAGCTTCAAGGCTTTTACTTAAACTGGGCTTAATTGGGCTTTTAGTATGGCCCATTATGTTATCATAAAATCTTTGATCAAACCTTCTTTTCGAGCTAGAGAGCAGTATGCTCTTGATAGATTTGAGAATTGTTGTTCAATAATTTCAATGCGTTGATATTTTAATGCTAAAATCATATTGTGACTAAGTATAACATGATTAGTTTAGATCTCTCCCAAAGGGTAGCAGTAAAAAGGATTAAAAACTTCGTGTGGAATTTGGCAAAAGATGTTAGTGTTCAAAGAGGTTAATATTTTCTCGGATGTTCAAACTGGATCTATATGTAAATAAGCTACACTACTAATAAAGAATCAAGAATATACACAACTTTCTTGATTGATTGTTTTAGTTGTGGTTTCGCTTACCAATGTTGAATCTAGGGCTGGCCAAAAAATCTGAATCCAAAAAAGTGACTTGAACCCGATCCGAAAAATAGTATCAAATCCGAAATGAAATTAATTAAATATCCGAATGGGTTCAAAATTTTGGTATCTAGATAATTGAAACCGAATCCGATCCGAACCGAAATATTTCGGATGTCAAATGTATCAGAAATAGATTTACATACCTAAATATATTAATTATTTTTAGATTTAATGTATATTAAAAACATCCAAAATATATAAGATATTTTTAAGTTGTCTAGACACTTTAATGTATATATATATGTAAGTAGTCAAAATTAAATGTCTTAAATAGCCAAAATATACTCAAAACACCAAAAATATTTGAAATATCTATTGATTCTCTATCCAAATATTGAAACCAATCCAGTTTATATGTTAAGTTTAGATATTTTAACATATGTTATTCAAATTTATATTTAATATATTATTTTATTTATATAATTTAAAGTATATAATGAATTTTAAAATAATTTAATGGGTTATCCGAACCCGCAAAGATCCAAACCGAGTCCGAACCGAAATTTAGAAATACTCAAATGAAAATGAAAATCTTTGATTTTAAAAACCCGATGCTCGAATAGATCCGAACCGAACGGAAAGGATACCCGAATGCCCATCCCTAGTTGAATCTTTCTGGAATTATTCTGAATTGTGTTTGTGTAGATATTTGGTATGCAACTCCAGACACTGACGGTTTCTCAATTATATTAATGGATCAGCTAGATTATATCTTGGATCTTAAGGTACGTATACTCCACACCCTTAATAACTGTATTAGGAGATTCCAATTCTAGAAATTCAAATGTTTATTGATTAGAGAGCCTCTTACATTACTTAAAGGCTTACAGAAAGAGAGAAGATCAAGATTCTTTTTGGTTCGGATACGGAAAGGTGATGTGCAGATCTTCTTAACATATGTCTTAGAATAAAACTATAGTTAGTTCAAAAGAGTCTCTTTCTCTGTTACTCCTCCCCATTCTCTTATCCTCTCTTCCGCCATTTCAGCCTGGAAATATTCATACATCACTCAACATATTAGAACAATGGATAAGTGATAACTTGTTTAACCAATCCTAGTGTATTCGGTTCTCACCTCTTTCTCCCAGTTGGTTGTGCAGATCATCCAAGTCAAAATCATCGACTGAACAAAAGTTCCCGTCACCATTCCCCACCAGATACCCTAAACAACAGAAGTTTCCATAACATCAAAAACTATAGTCTTTTGTCACATTTATAAAAGTGTTTTTCTATAAAATATTTGAAATATCATTACCATGACGCCATATTCAAGCTTAAATCCCAACAATAGACCGAATGGGATTCCAAACAAGTAATAGCAAGCTATGTTCACATACGCAACAACTGCTTGCCATCCAGCTCCCACAGCGACTCCTGCGTTATCATCCGTAATTCATGAGTTTTATCTACCATATAGTATATATAGTAGTCAAGAAAATAGAGATAACCAATATAAAAAATATGTGATTAGGGTTTTCACCGGACAAAACAGGCTGAACATTGTTGATGACAATGCAGAAGGCAAGCATTGGTGTGAGTTCTTTAACCACATTCCTAACTACTTCATCTTCCACGAACAAAATCGGGTACTCGTCTTGGAAAAAGAGTAAAACCGCCGCTATAAGCATCCCGATTGATGTTGATACTATCACCGCCACGACTAGAGAGAACTTGGCCGTTCGTGGGTGGCTAGCTCCTAGCTCATTTGATACCCTCACACTGTCACAATAATACTTATCATTACATGTGAATATGTGATATATGTGTATAACTTGTGTAGAGTTTAATTTTCTCTCGAGGAGTTTTACCTTACTGCTGCGTTGACCCCAACGGAAACCATAGCTGCCCATCCCAAAATGTTCATGCTTCATTTTTACACATGCACGTAAACAAATAATTAAAGAGTAATTTTTGGTGTAATAATTAAAAGAGTAATTTGTAATAAAATACAGAAATATTGAATTTTATTCTTCATTTTTTATGTATCCCTATTTTACCATTTAATTAATATACATGTATGCAAAATTAGATTAAGAAAATGTGTCAAATAAAATAATTATATAGAGTACTGGACTATACTGGCTACAAAAGACAAAACAAAAAGACTACAATGCACGTTAGGTCTACTCTTTTTAGAGAATCTTAATGATAGAATTCAAACAAATGAATAAAACAAAAAAAAAACATCATAAACCATAATGTAAGAGATGTGTTTATTTAAAAGATATAAATAATTTTACCATATGGAGAGTGCAGCTACGGAGACTTCAGCATTCTTCAAATACCCAGCAAATAGTACTAGTGCCATAAAATACCAAACCTCCAAACTACAAACGTAAATAAATTATAAATATGAATTAACAAGTCGGATCAAGTGATATATAACCGGGAAAACCGGTTCAAAGCTCACCAAAGCATGACAGCAGAAGCCAGAGACAATTTAACAAAACCCCACAAATTGTGAAAAGCCTCCCACGTGAATCCTGACCAAGCCTCTCCACAAGTCCCACCAAAAATATACACAAGTTGTGCCACAACTATGAACCACCACGATGCGTTAAGAACCAAAGCTAAACCGGGAAGTCCCCAATGGAACCTAGACATGACTAGCCACGTGAGGAACGTGTGGATAACAAGAACCACACCAGAAATCCCTGCCATGACCATGATCTTGCTTTGCGACTGCAAAAACTTTGCGGTCGGGAAGTTGATGGCGTAGGCGAAAATTTGTGGGATCATGTAGATGGAGAAGAGCCCGGCCATGGCCGAGATTGTAGCGGTTTGGCCTATGAAGGTTAGGATTGGAGCCGCGAAAATATAGAGTAGTGAAAGGATGAGAGCGGTTGCGGTTAGAATCACCCATGAGCGTTGTAAGTAAACGCCGAGCATTGATGCTTTTCCTGCTCCAAACGCTTGTCCGCATAGCGTTTCCAACGCGCTTCCCATTCCAAGCTGGTAATTCACCAGACATAAATAATTAGCCGTAAGAATTTTAAAATTATATTGATTACAATTAAAACTGCTACTATAGCCAGTAGAAATAACACATCAAATTGTTCTAAAATTCGCCTAAAATAAAAATTGATGCTTTTATTTTAATTCACATGTTTGTCATTGAAATTTTTATATAAACACACTAGATTCTATTGTAGACAGACCCGTTCTGGAATAACCAATCGTTTAGGACGTCACAATTTTATTTGATATTTTTAATTGTATGTAAAACATTAGAAATATATGAAGAATAAAAGTATGTACATCAGTGAATCCCCTTTTGAAGTTCAATTTTAAAATTCTTTATTATTAAATCTTTTTCTGTTTGTTTTGTTTAAAAATAATAATAATAATTAAATAAAATAATCAGACCAATTATGGACCGCCACGTGTCGTGAGACCCACAAAACAGTGATGAATTCCCAGTAAAAAGTTCACCCGAAAGAATTTATGAGAAGAAGATTCATGTGAGTCTCATTATTTTAATATTTTTACTTTGAAAAACGTGTGAACTTGTGTTTGAACCTTCAATGTACTTGCTCTAAGGTCACAAACAATTATACGAGCATATATATGATATTGTGATTTCAAGTTGTAGTTTATATTTATTTAAGGCATAGATTTTATATATTTAAGACAAGTTTTTATATCTATGCTAATTTAATTGTTTCAAATATATCATAATATTTGTAGGATATTTCAGCTACTAGTAAATAGTCTTTACTTTCTTTTTTTGGGTTCTTGAATGTTCTAAAGATTAACATGCATACCATGATACCAAAGGAGAAGCCAGCAATGACGGAGTTCTCAATGGAGACAGCTGCGAGAGCGATGGTGCTAATATGTCCGGCGAAAACCTGAGTGATGGCTCCAAGAGAGAACTGAGCCATTGACGTAAAAATAGCCGGGCCGGCTAACTTCCATAGCTTCTTAGACTCAATTCTAAACTCTCTGACGAAGTCTCCCACGTTGGAGATGGGCGGGATATCAACGGAGATAGAGGAGAAGGAGACAAGAGAAGATGCTGTGCTTCCAACTCCTAAATAACCCATCAATGCTTTCTGGGTCGTTGGGTCAAGGTCATCCGTGGAAGACAGTAACGGATCCATGAAACTGTTTTCTTTCTCCATTCTACTCAGACCAAGAAAGAGAGAAAGATAGTGTTAAGAGGTAATAATGCAGAAGAATTGAGGATCTTGCAATGTAACGGACCAAAAATTATATAGACACTATTAATAGATTTTGTATTGTGTGAGTTTTTGGAAGAGTGGTAAAAGACAGAGTTAGACCCATTAATATTGACTTAGTTTTCCATAGAAGAATATATATTATATGACTGAGTCTGTCTAGTGTTGTATTGTCATATACGTAATCAAAGGGTAACAATTTGATAGTTCATCTTTTACCAAAAATAAAAAAAATTGATAGTTCATCGCACGGACAGCTCGGCTAAACAATAAAATATGAAAAAAAAATATTAAGAACATTTGCAATTGTAATTTACAAGTGGTTACAAAAATAATATAAGATCACTATCTTTGTTTCGTGGACTCCGTACGCTTTTTTACGACGTGCGAAGCAATCAATGTGTACATCCAGGATATGAGAAACATCTTCAAACATTTTAGTTGAATTGGCTCAAGGTAGTTAGCCGTTGAAGACGCAATGAAAAGGGCTGTTTAGGTTTTGAAGGCCCATATAAACATGTTGGGTTTTCAACCCAATATTAGAGCGAGTGGGTAGGTAAAGGTTGCAAGAACTTTTTGTTTCTTGTCAGGCACTCAAGACTTAAAATTCATTTTGATGAACCAAACAATAAAGATATTGAAGATTGCAAGGTTTCTTGTTAAACTTCTTTTGTTGATGAAACGATGGTATGCGTGGCAGTAAATTGCCAACGTAATTTCATTTGTCACTGAACTTTTGTCATCAAAACGTTTGTTTTTAGTCGTTTTCTATTTTCTCACACCATCGGTTATTAGAAACTTTTTAATAACCGAGACACTTCGGTTGCAATTGTATATATTCCTAAAGACTCGTTGATGGAACTCACAAGAATCACACCCATCTATTGCATTTGAAAGATTACACCCCACCACATATATAGGATTCATCTTGAATTTTGTTTTCTTTTAGAAGAAATAATAAATAACAACTTCAAATAGTATACTAGCCAAAAAAATGGTATACTTCATTGAAAGTTCAAACATATGTTTGTAAAAGGCAGCAGATATAAAAATATTCAAAAGTACTATATAAAATGATCGGTGGTATTCCATGATTAACAGACTTTTACAAAAGTACTCCATAAAGTGAAAGAGTAACAACCGGTAGATTTCACATTACATACACAATTTAGCACACAAAGTATAAAGAAAATCAAGAAATAGAGAGCAAAAGCAAAGAAAATAAGACAAAACCATACACACAAACAAGCAAACAAACAAAACAAGAACCGTTACTTATCAAGTTTGAGGATGAGTTGTTGCACGGCCTCGTTCACTAACGCTGTTTTCAGCAAATTTCTGGCTTGCAAGATGTAAGTTCTTAGCTTTCTCTTTAGAGCTCCACTCAGCGAGGTAATAATCTTCTTCAGTTACTTTCTTAGAAGAAGGTCCACAAAACATACCTCCCCATTGTGGAAAGTAAATAAAACATATTGGTAACGAACACGCGATGGACATTATCCCCATTAGAGTTATACCAGTCTCTCTCGAGTATGTTGACCCTTTGAAGAATATCAATTGAGTTAAGACCGCACCTACATTGCCTCCTGCCCCAGTCATTCCAGATATCACCCCAAGAGATCTGCACAACCAAAGAGCATATACAATGGATAAACTAGTCAAGTTACAAACACTATTCAAAATCTACAGTGAAAAAGATCATTTGATTACCTTCTAGAAATAAAGGGGACAACGCCGAAAGTAAGTCCACAAGAAGCTTGGACGAATACAGAGAAGATGAGCATAACAACTATAGACCAATGCAAGGAAGCAATTTGGCCAAGACATGCACACAACACACCACCTAGTGTTTGAATAATCCACCAAGACCACAACCTTCCTCTCATCCCAAACCGTCTAGCCATTAGATCCGACATGATTCCTCCTCCGGGTCTAGCGAAAAAGTTAGCTAGCCCAAAACTGGCTGCTATAATCCCAGCTGTGTTGAGGTTTAAGTGGAATCTATCAAAGAAATATTCAGCGATGATGTTGTCTATTGTGAGCTCAACTCCAAAACAATAGCCATATGCTAATGCTGTTATCCATCCTCTATAGTTTGTGATGCCATGTGTGATCACTTTCCCCACCTCATCTTTCTCTTTCTCTCCAGATTTGTGCATTGCCCAATAATCTCCATCAGGAAGATCCTTTTATATTTAAAAAAGAAAAAGACAAAATATAAGTGAGAGACTATCGCATCATCCTTGACTTGCTTGTAATAAACACAACTAAGATAATCAAATCGTAACTGAATTTGCTTGTAATAAATTAATATATTCAATGTTTTATTTATATTTTTTAGTTATTATTCCATCCGTTTTATTTTTGTTATTTTTTAAAATTTTTGCATACAGATTAAAATAATATTTAATTTTACATATTTTTGAAATAAAACACAATTAGGTATACAACTAACCAAATTTCAACCAATAAAAACAGAAAAAATATATAAAATTAATAAAGTCTGCATCGAAACTATGAAAAAAACAAATTTAGGTATACACCTAACCAATTTTTTTTCTCTATAACAACATGTAAACTAAAATAGAGGGAGAGTATATAAAACCAAAACCGGAAATTAACCGGATAAATTGAGTAAACCGGTACCTGACCGAACAAGAGAACAGCGAAAGCAGAGAAGGTCTGAAAGAGACCAGGGATAAAGAAAGCGATCCTCCAAGCCGTGAACTTAGTAGCTCCCATCTTCCTAATCACCGAGAACACAAGCGGCATGATCAGTTGCGTCGCACCTCCTCCAAGATTTCCCCACCCCGCAGCGATACCATTAGCCGATCCCACGACAGGTCCAGAGAACATAGAACTCATCCAGAACTGCGTCGAGACAAAAGTAGCGAGCGAGAAACCCGCAAAGAACCGAACCATGATAAACCCTATCGGCGACTTGATCCCTGACGTGAAGTACACGGCAGGAGCGGTGGATAGGGTTAAAGCCGCGGATGCGAGACGCGGGCCGAAGAGGTCGCAGGCCGTGCCCATGACGAGACGAGCGAAGACTGAGCCGGAGACGGAGGCGATACCGGCGTTACCGATGTCGGTGGCGGTGAGGTTGAGATTCTCACGGATGACTGGGAGGAGAGGTGGAGCTGCGAAAGTGGAGACGAAGCAGCAGAAGAATTGGAACCATGAGAGGTGGAAGGCCCTCATGTGTGGCTTTGCGACGGAGAAGAGGCGGAACGTTGTTGCTTTGTTCTCGGTGTCCACCGGAATTGCGAATCTCCGAGTGGTGGTGGTGGTTCGAGATTCTCCTCCTTTGCCTTCGACGTCCATTTTTTGTGAGGGTTTTAGTTAGGGTTTAAGATAATGAGAGGAAGATTCTTGATGGATCTAAGGTTTGTGGTTATGAGAGTATATATAGAGCAGAGAGTGTGTAAAGGGTTCTTTGACATTTTCATGGATTGTGAAGAGGTGATGTAATCATTTTTTTTTCATATTTAATGAATTATATATTCTTATTTTAATCATAAAATATTATTTATTTATTTTTAGGTTTTATGCATTTATTTCTGCTTTTTAGTGGATTTCGGTTTAGCTAGGTAGAGGTTGACAAAAAAAAGAGCTAGGTAGAGTAATGACCAAAAATAAAATATTATCGGCTTAAAATTATATATGGTATACACTTTTCCGTACCAACTAAGGAAAATAAGTAAATAATATACTATTTATCTGATAGTAAATTTTAGTTTGAAATAAATATAAAATAATTTTATTAATTTAGTCGGTTCAGAAGAATTTCTATTCCAAGTTCTGATTTTAAAATAGCAATTTTTATCTACAAAAATTCTGGACCAAAATTCTTAATTTTTTGGAGTCAAAGAAAAGAACGAGTGATTAAATCTCTTCCCCACAGTTATTGAGACTCAAATCTGGCAGTTTTATCATTAGGTGGAAAGCTTACCAATAGAACTAGCAGTTATGGGTAAAATTTTAAGTTTGATTTAGCTTTGGTTGCGTGAGATATTGAAGAATCATTTTTAACTGCGTTAAAATTTAAAATTTTCTAGTACGAGGTGTTTCGGATCAAACAGGTTAAAATATCAGCATACACATACATATAATGTTGCATCAGATACAATACATTAATCAGACTGCTCTGTTTTTATGTCATCGAATGTTTAAGTTAGTTGAATAAGAAAAACTCAAAATATTGGTGCAGAAATTGCCAAACTATTTACTTTTTGTTCTGTTTATCATATAATAGCTATTTAGGTATCAATTAGTTGTTGTACTTTTTATTATATCAGATTAATCTTCGAAGTCAATACTTATTGAGACTCGGGGAATAGTAGCTTCGTTTGGCCTCTTTAATCATGGCAAAGGTAAAAGTCTTCGGGCAAAAACTTTGGCAAAGTCTTAATTACAACAATGTGTTACAAAATTTCCAACTTGTTTCTTTCTTAATTTTCATCATTGTATGTAAGTCTCATCTATGTAATGATTTCTACATGTAAATAAAACTGAATTTTATGAGATAGATCCATTTAAAGGCGTCATAATTCATAATATGATTTAAGGGATTTATCGAATAGTCTAAAACAATGAGAATATGAGACCAACATTGTATAACCAAAAATATCCTCTTCCAACCTCTTTACCCCAGTTGTATACTTCCATTAACTTAAATGTTACATTTTTATTGCATATATATATAAAATATATTCTATCAATTCGATCTATTTAAAATTGTCACAAACTATTATTTTTATGATTTTATTGAATAGTCTAAATACATAAAAAACTAATTCTATATATAAAGCCAAAATATTTTTTCGAGTTTATCTCTTCCGCCGAATTGTTAAACTCGAATGTTATGTCTTTTTCTTTTGCGGACAATGACATTTAAAAAGAAAATAACAAAATATATGTCATCAATACACAATGGTTTTATGTTGAATATTTATTTAAAATAAAATTTTAGAATAAATATTAAAAATGAAGTAATGTTTATGTTATCGATGAAAATATTTATATAGTTCGTAGCAGATTTTTCCTATAAACATGTAAAAAATCTATAATCATATATGCAATTTAATATATATATATATATGAATAATCTGCTATGAACTAAGTATATGTATTTCAATAGTCTATCTGTTTGGTGAATGAAAAATTGATTGTAATGTTGTTTCTGTTAAATGAAACTGATTGTATTGTTATTAATTCCATTTTGCATTGAATTTCACTTCTTGGAATTTTCCTGAGGTACCATATAAAGGGCGGCCTTTGTAATGAATTTGTATGTGTATGATGAATGTTCCTTCCATAAGATAACTCTTACATTCTAGTGTAGTAGTTAATAATAGCTTACAAAATAGCTGATACAATTAAAGAAGAAGACATACAATACTACTTTTCTTTTGTCATCTGTGATTTGAAAGTAACTATCAAAATTCAAAAGTATACAAAATTCAGTAAACGCAATCATCTCATCAAAGACAAAGATGGAGCGATGACCGCAAAAAAAACTTGTTCAAAAGCCATGAAACGCATCAACCGGATAGCAACCAGAACCATATCTCGGATATTCCTAAAATAAAATAAAAACCGTAACTAAAACATAAAGTTACAAATCAAACGGTCATCTAGAACCATCTCAACTATATAAAATTATCAAACCGCCTTTGAAGCTAAAACATGTAAACCACATTCATAAACATCCAAAGAAGCCAGAGAAACTAGTATCAAGACTGGGTAGACAACTTCAAATGACATGCGATACTCAGTATTTACAAAAACAAAGCTAATTACTTAACTTAGAATATACGTCTCTTCCTTGTTGTGCTTTATATTTTTATCATAAGGTTCACTAACCACAATGTCTTTGAACATAACCATTTTTAAAAGCAAGCCGTTTATTTGGACCACTGATAAAAAAAATTCAAACTGGAATCATTAATAAATAATTGTTTTAAGTTGTGAATATTCTGTGGGTCCAAAAATTGCTGACATTGTTAATAATATGTGTAGAATCCTGGGAGCGAAGACTTGGCATCTCCTTATCGTCTGGACCTCGTTGGAATCCTATGAACTACTCGGAGATAGATTCTCTTTCTATGACTTTTCTTTCGACAATTTAGATATTTTATTCTGACGTCAGAGAAACCTCGGCAAAGTTATGAGTCCTCGTATTTTTCTTAGAAGCGGTTAAAGATAATAGACAATCAAGTTTAGTGATATTAAAGGGGTGACTGACAATGGTTGTGAATTTTATTTTTTGCTTTAGAAGATATGATGTAAGTTTTTCTAGTGTTGTTCTAGATTTTACTGATGTAGATTCATATCAATAACTTTTAAAATATTAAATATAAAGTTCTAAAAAAGTAATTTTAAAGTAAAAAAAATAAAAAGGATTTCCAAAGCTAATATATAATTCTCCGGTTGTATTTTCAAGTTTTAATTCATTCTTTTAAATATGATTGGTAAATTTAAGTAGTTATAGCAAAAAACACTGTGGAAAGAATTTATAGCATATACTTATCAGTAATCATCCCATAAGTTGTTTTTAATGTAATTTGTGGTATAAGTTGTTTTTTTTAAGAGTGATTTAGTGAACTACCTATATTTGAAGCTCAAATTAGCAAAATACTATTGATTGGACATGAAGGACACTGACACAACCATTTGACACGGAAATGCCGAGAATGCCCTTTCTCTTTCCTCTCATTAACACGTAGCGTAAAAACATTTGTTAACATATAACACTTCTGTTAACGTCTACAATATTTGTTAACAGCCAAAACATTTATTACCGTGAAGCGTAAAAATAATT